GGTAAAAGGATTAAAAAAAAACCCTTCTAGCTCACAAAACAAAACAGTAAATATGAAAGATGAGTGACATTTCTCAAAAGAGATCCTTCTATTTTTGTCTGTTATTTGCCCCTTTAATATAGTGCACTGGAGCTCTCTAAAGATTAATGGAGTTCCAATTACATGCCACTGTTGTTTCACTTATCATAATTTGTACATGGCACTGCGAGCCCTTGTAGTCATGACTTTCCCAGTTTACCCAGAGGGAATATCTTTGGAACTTCCTACTTCTAACAACCAGGCAGCACTTAGTGCAATGATTCAGGCTGGCCACGTGAAGGTAGGCTGTGACAAAAAGCTGGCTGTCACCACTGAGGGCTCGCCTGGTGCTCTCACGCTTTGTTATGGTCAGCTAAAAACTGTAATTAGTAATAGGAACATTTCAGCTTCTCCTGTGTATTACACCTGGGCTGCAGTGTGACTGCAACTCTGACAGAGAGTTGACACATAAATAGAAACCTGCTTCCTTTGCCAGCTGGAGATGAATTTTACATTTTCGGTTCCTGGTACATTTTTGGAAATTATGCATGAACATGGAATTAATCCCTTTTTTTGCTGTTTTTTTTTTTTTTTAACTGATTTCTCTCCAGGTTAAGAATTCATCAGTACTTCTTGATTTGAATGTTCTAAATAGTTCTGAATAACAACATTACTTGTTGTTGCAATATCCAATACTTGGTGTAAAATCCTCTTGATGTCTGATTACTCTCCATAAGGACCTCATGCTGGTTCATTTCAAACTGTGAATTACCTTTAATTCATAGCTTACACATGCTGCCAAATTTTGTTTTCTATGTTCCCAGGTGCCTGTCCCTGACCCAGAGGAGATCTTCCAAAAAGCTATTAGATATTTATGAAAAGTATTTTGATGTAGAGAAGCACATTTCCATTTTCAATCACGGTTCCATCAAGTATTATGATAATATTTAGGATTAGGAAAGTACTGGTATTTATTTGAATTTTTTTGGAACTGTGAAGTGAAATCCTGGCCCAACTGAGAGCTGAGATGAATGCACGTAGGAAAATCCTTGCTGAAAGATCACAAAAAGATTTTCAGCTGCTTGCTTTAGTTTTAAGCTCCCTGTATTTATCTGCTCTCTACTCCACACACAGGTTGTGTATCATTAAGCATGATGGGTAACAAAAACTCCATATAGATAAAAGAAGTTGGTTTTGGCTGATCCATAAAAATTTGCTGCTCTAAGTTTTTAATGGTTTCCGGTAGTTCACTGAGCCCATGAGAAGGGCCTTTTAATACTGTATTAATACAGTAAGTATAGGAAGTAATTTTATGACAGGGGAAGAATACCATTATGATTACATTCTTCTTTTTAGCTAGGCTTTTATGGAAACTACCCAAGACTACTCTGCAGTATGATTTCAAAACACAGGATGTGCTTGATTAAAAAGGTTCTGGGTAGTTTCCAACTGGACAAAGGCCAAATGCTAACAACCAAAACAGAACAAAAGGACTGGATGTTTGAGGATGACATATTTGCAATGGCAATTATATAACAGAAACCCAAGTCATGAGCCGAGTCCGTCCCCTCAAATTCATGGAAGCTGACAGAAAATCCTTTGCAGTGCAATTGGTTGCACCTTATCTGTTCCTGCTTACTCTGCTTCATAATAAACTAATCAGAGCAGAGTGCCTGCAAACTGACCGCACAATGCCCAGCGGAGATTTACAGTGAATTTGAAATTACAAAAAGGGAAACCAAGTGCTGCAGTTTTACATAGCCTGATTTCAGCTGTAAAAATTCACCACAGTACACACATGCATGCACATCAGTGTTCAAAGTTTCATTTTCAAGATTTCTAAGTGTAACTTAGGAGCTGAGGTTAGTTATAAGTCCATGTTCTCATGTGCATAGGTGCAGAATTTAGAAAAAATCCTGATTATCTTCTATTCTACCAGCTGCACTAGGTATTTGGTTTATTCAGCATGTGGATGCAACAAAGTATACTGAAACATTATAAAAAGGATGAAATTTCTATTTCAGAAAGCTTTACTTGGACAAGAAGCCATGCATCTTGCATCCCTCTACAATAGCAACACATTGGTAAATTAATCCACCTTGCAGTACGTCATCCTCATTCTTCCCCCAGAAGTGTGCACCTAAGAAGTTATCTTGCAAAAATCATACATCTCTTCGGTCTGATCTTCCAGGACCCCAGTGTTGCTACACCTGAACCCTGTAATGACATACACACAGCTTGGCTGCTGGAGCAGGATGCAGCATCATGAAGGTAAAGTATCTCTGTTCTGCATTCACCTCTCAAGTAGTCATGGTGCAGCTCAGCAGTATGGTGAATGGAAACACATTATTAACAGCTCCTTTGGATCTCTAACAAAGCCAGTGGAATGTACGGGACTGTCACTAGGACCAATATAAATGGAAAAGATAATTTAAGTTTCACTTAAATTGCACATGAACTTTAAAAAGTTGGCTAACAGCTAGAAACATATCCAGGTTAAATGGACTCAAACAAAGCATACAGACGAACAGAGTCAAATTCAGCAAGATTTGATCAAACTGAAATATGGATGACAGATCCTATTGACAAAATATGTAATTGGTGGGGGATAGTTTTGAAGTCAGTAAGACCATACTGAGTGGCTGAGAGTGTAGCAACAGATGTTCCTGGGGATAAGCTGGACTGTCATTTCACTCATACACTGCAATATCCCCAAAATCAAGCAGTGTTAGAGAGACTAAATCCTCCTTTATACAAGTACAATCTGATAAACACTCTATCATTAAAATACACAATGACTGCAGGAGCTGTCCACCTATCAGGGTTTGTTTGGACTGTACTATCCAGCTCTACTTGACACCATTACATCTTCCAGTCCCACTCCTGCTTTAATTTCATTATGTGCTCAAGTACTGCAATTCCCCGTGAAGGTGGTGGTAACTGCACACGCAGATCTAAAGAAACACATTGGCCTCGTAATACCAAGCCTCACAGTGGACTGCCTCCTAACCTCCCAAAGCCCTGTGGAAATTCTTAGAAGCTGCCTTAACAATTTTTCTGCAGTAAAAGAGAAAAAGTGATAGTAATGGGTTAGCTGATCTTCATTTGGAAGCTAAAAATAAAAGTAGCTTTATTGCAGCTCTGATCTCTCATGTGTAAAATCTATCACCTACCGTAAGAAGGCAGTTCATTGCAGCAGAAATCTGATTGATAGTACTGGAACTTTAGATCAAGCAGCAGAACAGAGAACAACTGGTTCATAAAATGTACTCAGTGTCTTTGGGTTTTATATCAGGCTTCCTATAGAGAGCTTTGGTCCCATTAAATGCACTATATACCACTGAGCTCTGAAGCACTGTTCTTTTGAAATTCGGCTTATAACTATAAACCATGATTGACAAGTCTATTACTGTTGGTTACAAACTATTGAAATATTGTATTTTATGGTACACTCACTAAAATATTTTTCACAGTGGAATCCAAATACATCTGCTTTTAGAGAAAAATAATTTTAAGATGCAATAATATTTTTTCCTTTTTTTTTTTATTATGGAATGTGTTTGTTAGATTTGGATCACTTTGATGTTCTGAAACATGAGTGCACCCACCCTATTACCAAGAACTGTGGGTACAGTGGCTAGAATCTTCACAAAAAACCAAGTCATTACTGGACGTCAAACAGCAAAGGGCAAAAATTAATTTGTTATTAAGTTTAATAAATAAATGTTATTCATGCAAATTAAGGTAAATATAATTAGTATTCCTAACCAATTCTCATTTAATCAGAAAAAACCTATCTAATTTTAAAATTTGATCATTCGCCGAGCCACAATTTTGTAAAGGTTTACTCAACCAATTGTATTTGAATGAGCACTTCCATGACTTGAGTTTATGAGTAAAGAACTGGACCTTCAGAGCCTGCTGAGAACATCAATAGATTCAATATCCACATCTACTCTATTCCTGTACCTCTCACACAGTCACAGACATATCATGGAACTCCAACAAGCCCTTTTGTGTACACAGACTTGCACTAATAATCAGTGTATTTAAATTCATTTTTAAAACTTGCCAAGGTATCTCCACATTGATTTTTCTTCCCCCAGAGGATTTTTAAAATTGTCTTTCGTAGATTAAGGGCGACCACTAGAATAATTTTGAAGTAATTTTAAATGAACATATTGTATTTACACAACTGTCAGTTAAGCTAGTGCAGTTCTGCATTCAGTACTTTAGAACACTTAACACTAAAAAACACAGCAGCTCTGAACTGAAATCAGACCCATACATTTTCATACATATAAAACAATAGCCCACAGTTCAAAGTTGCTATTTAGCTCCTATTTGCAAATTAGAGAACCTGGGTTAAAAGTAAAAGACAACTCGGTCTCCACTCACTGCTACACTGCTGCAGCCTTACACCAGAGAAGAACCAAATTAAAATGGCTTAACACAATGGAGAATTAGCTCTTTCACAATTTTCAACTGTCATATTTATAGATCATCTGTGATTTTCAGCTGTTTCAAAATGTATGAAACTCAAGACCAGCTTTTCAACACCAGCTAGCAGAATCATTCTGTATGATGTGTTTTTACTCTCTCTCACTGTATGAATGTAAAAATTCCTGCATCATCTGTTCATTGGGTTGCATTTTCTATTGTAAGAGGCTTAGTATCTGATGAGAGAAGCATAAAAGTGATTTAATTTTGCCAAGCTGTAGAACTAAAATCAGCATTATTTCTGCTTAATAAACTCATCTTTCACACATACCTCTGTTAGCTAATGCTTAAAAAGAAGAAACAGTAATAAGCACTGGAAACATAAAACTGGTTTATGGCTAATTTTTAAGGACTACAGAGAACACCTGAACACCAGGACAAGATTATGAGCAGAGCTAGGTTTTAGTTACCTTTGGAGAAATAAGCTCATGCTTTATGATAAATTTAAAATGAGATTTAAAGCTGGAAATAATAATACTTACGACTTTTGTGGCACTGACTTAGTTGCAACTTTCCCTGCTGGATCACTCCACTCTGCAAACAAAGGAAACACATTTTCAAATGTCAAAAGATTACTGTAGAATTAAAATGCACCCAAAGCTGTCAGCCCATCTAATTATACTTGGTTTCACAACATGCCACAATGCATAACATGTAATAAAAAATGGAACTGATCTGCTTTAGCACCACAGAAATTAATTTTTTAGCCTTTGTTTTAATGACATTAAGCAGACAAAAAAAAAAAAAAACCAAAAAAAAACCCAACCCTGACTGTTAGGACTAGGATGATAAAGACCTACTTTGTACATTGTATCCTGAGGTCAGATGTTGGGAGTCCTACAAAGAAGAACACACAAAATGTCAGCATTAGTTAAATAAGATGAAGAAGGTAAGATATATCTTGGCTTGCTAGAATAAGGGCACTGGCACTGTACCAACAGGGAAGGAGATGGCACAGGGAAGGGATCACAGCATTGTTAAGGCAGCACCAGTGACAGTAGTTTGAAAAAGCATCAACTGTGGAGACACAGCACCACTGAGGGACCCTTCAGAGCTCAGGCAAGAGTGTGTCCCCAGCTGCTGTAAACTACACCCCCCTTCATGGACACAACACAGATTTACACCCACAGCAGCCCCAGCCTTCCCCAGGCTTGGCCATGGATGTGTAGGAGCTCATTAAATCCAGTGCCATTGCCTTTCTTTTGTTTGATCTCACTGCCTGGAAATACAGTAATCTTTTACTGGTAGCCACTGTATTTATTTGGACTGTGACACACGGGGTTTGATAAAGACATGGGAAGTAGATCTTCACCTGATGGGAATTGGTCCAAATCCAATGAAATCAATGGAAGTACAACAACTTAAAACCAGCAAAGAGTCTGGCTTGCAACTCTGAGCATGCTAATGACAGGATTCTTGTTGGTTCACAATAACCAAGCTGTTTCCTTAATGTCACAGTGTTTTCTGGCTTAGCTTTTCTCTAGGCTCTGCAGTCCACAGTGATTGTCATCAGCTTTCCTTCCAAGCTGAGTTTGATCAGTTGAAATTAAGGTGTTATTTACAACCTCATCCTACAGCCTGGCTCTGTTTTGCTGGAAGTGTTAGTTCTGTAGGATGTTAAAGTCATTAAAGCCCTCACTGCACTTCCTCTCAGGGCACTATTAGTTCCTAATATTATATTATGCTGTCAGTCAGTCCCTTGTGAAGTAAATAATGCCCTAAGAGTAAACAGGGCACTTCAAATTTGAATGTCAAAGGGATAAATTATTTTGATAAGCTCCACCTCTTTTATCACACTTTTTAAATGTATGTTTCTCATGAGAATACCTTTATTTTAACAGCTAAATTGAAAACTTCTAACAGTGTCTGTCTCTGGTTTATATGGCTGCACAACCTAGCCATATTATGTCCTAGATGCATAATTTGGCCAGCCATAATTGATTTAAAGTGATGTTCTGAAGAGATACTTCTGTTGTATTTTTTAAAGTAAGACTACTGAGCATGGAAACATTTATGTGCTTGCCTATTTCCTGCCATGCTAGCTCAAAAAAAAAAAAAAAATCTAATTTATATTTTGTATTGAAGTGATATGGTCGAGAATTTTAGGATCAACATTTAATGTGCCCAGAAATTAACTTTGATGTGGATCTTAAAATTTCAAAGCAAATTTGTTAGAAACAGAAAAGCAAACCCAAAATTTTAGCTTTTCTGAAGCTCTGCTTATACTGCTACCAATGGAGATAGTGTCAGTCTGCAGGACTCAAACCAGTTTCTGAAGGGCTTATCAGAATTAGAACAATAAATTAAGACATGGTATAAATTTACCAGCTTCCAGGAGGTAAAAACTGTATTCACACAGTTCCCCTTAAAGGGTTCAACTGACTTTTGCCCAATTTGCAATGAGGATTATGCTCTTGTAATTATGAGCTTACAAGAAAGATGGAGAGGGGCTTTCTATAAGCACATGTAGCATGCTTATAGCACAGGACAAGGGAAATGACTTCAGACTGAGAATAGGTTTAAATTAGATATCAGGAAAAGATTCTGTACTGTGAGGGCGGTGAGGCACTGGAACAAGTTGTCCAGAGAAGCTGTGGATGCCCCATCCCTGGCAGTGCTCATGGCCAGGCTGGATGTGGCTCTGAGCAACCTGGTCTACTGCCCAAGGCAGGGCACTACATGAAACCAGATAAAGTTTAGGGTCCCTTCCCACCCAGGCCCTTTTCTGATTCAGTGACTTCTGATGCTTCACACTACAGCAGGAAACTGCAGTGACAGTGGCAGTGCTAGGGCAGTAACAATCACATTCCATTAAAATAAGACATTCTGGGCACTGGCTTTAGTTTTGTTTAAGAAGCCACAGTTATTGCTAATTTAATTTCTTTCTGACTAAGTATGGTGGCTATATTTCAGACAGGGGAAATCAGTAAGAGCAAAATCACATTCCAGCTTCTACATCAGGATATGATTGCTTGAACTAAAATGTTAAGCAGTACCAGTTTAATAAGCTATTTTTGAAGATCCTGCCTTTGGAAAGGAACTTTTATGTAGCTCTATGACAGAATGGTATAAATTTCCCACCATGGGGAAGTTCTCTTCTACCCCAAACACCATCAGCTCAGTTGTTCAAATCCCAGCATGAGATACCTCTGGCAGAACCTGTCCCAGGTACGAGCCTGATCTCTGTCAGTGCTACTGGAATCATAGCCAGAAGGCAATAATGCAATGTGGGCTAAGGGCATCTTCAGATCATGCAATTTAACAATTCAGTGTGGATTACATGAACTAGAGGCAGTCTCTAGGCAAGCGTGCCTAGACTCTGTGCCTCCCTCTGGGGTGTGACACAGACAGATACCACCATGGTCTTCACATGTAAGGACCTTTTCACTCACCATAACTTGTCTATGGAGCCAAAACCTCACCATGCAATCAATCAGTAAGTTGGAAAAAATGTCCATTTCAAACCTTTTCATTGCACAAATAATAATGGAAGAAAACCGAACAAAATATATTTTACTTGATGTAGAAAGACTCCCATAACAACAGAGATAAAAAGCTCACTTTTCTTCCACTGAGTCTTCTGCAGCTTTAAATAAACAGTTCTACTAGTAGCACCAGTCTGATTGGGAATTTCCAACTAAAAATAGTATCAGAAATTTTTTAAAGTGGGACCAATTACAAAAATAAACTCTCCAGCAAAGAGCACTCAACAGAACAGAATGCTAATCAGGTCACTGGTAATAGCCCACTTGTACCTTGCTTGGGATAGAAAACTTGGTCTGCTCGGCCTTGCCCGGAGTGTGAATAGCAGTGAGAGGAGGAGGCCAGGAATGGGTCATCTCCTAGGTAAAAAAAGAAAAAGTTTAGAAAACAAATTCATGTACACAGAGAAGAAAGAGAGTGAAAAATGGTCCCATCAGCTCCACTGAGCCTGGAGATGCAATTGCTCAAGGAATCCACCCCACCACCTCACAGCCTTAGGTCACAGATAAACACCCAAACAACCCCACAGGCAGCACTTCCTCAGAATGAGAGTGAGGACAGGTTTTATTCTTGAAAATTGTGACCATCCATGTCTTCATCAGAGGGCAACTGGCTCCACCTCTGTGTTCAGCCTGCCAAGCTGTATGAATAGAGCTGGGCTCTAACTGCAAAGCCTAGGCAGGAAGGGGGCCCTCCTGCACAGCACGGGGTGCAATCCTGTAGGGGAGTGCATGGTGGCAAGATGCAGCACTATTTAAGACTGCAGAATGGCAAAAGAAACAAGAGGCAGGTCTAGAAAAATCTGGAATAGGCTTGCAGCATGAATGCCCAGTGTAGCAGAGAGCAGAGACATCACCACAGCATCTTCTTGGGGCACTGGCCACACGCTCTTGCTGTGGTAAGCAATGTCACAGCCTCAGAGCATCATTGATTCCACTTTAAAATGAGAAATCTGGTGAATCCAGTGAAACCTGCCTACCAGAACATCTAAGCAAAAACCATCCATTTTCTCTATCAGTGTGTTTATTCATCATTCATACACTCAAGTCCCAGTTATCTTTAAAGAAACAACCTGGGTGCCTATGGCTACCAAGCACCAGCAGAAGAGCAGCACACACCCACTTCTCCTTCCCACTGCCGGGAGCTGCTGCCCCAGCAAGCCTGACAGGAGCACACTGGGGTTTGTGCTCATTGGAGCAGGGGGAAAATCACTAAAACCAAGGAACTGCACAAGTGCTGGCTTAGGCAGAGCTTGGAAATGCCCTTCTAATGAGTATGTTTTATGGGAGACACTGCTTCTTTCTCACTTATCTTTGTTTTTAATTTAATAAATATGCAGAGAGGCAGTAATAGTTGTCTCTGGCATTCTTTTGCCTTTGTCTTGGTTATTTTTCTTTGTCTTGGCTGTTTTTCTTTGCCGTAAAAAATTCTTTCTTGAGACAAGGGAGGCAAAGAGCAGAAGAGTATCCCATCTCAGAAATCTTGTGTGCAATGGCCTGACTGCAGTGAACTACACTTACCAGGTGCTGTTACACACTGGTCAAACCCAGGGCTAGTCACAGCAAAGCTCATAAACAGGCTAGTTTCTGTAGGTAACAGGACAACCACTCAAATGAACCACAAATAAAAACATAACATAATGCAATTGAGTAAGAAAATACAGGTGGTATAAAAAGGACAATGTGGTGGGTGAATTTTGGCTAAACACATGCCCTGTGTGGCTACAACTGATACTAATTATAGTTCACTGAAGACAGAGCCAGCAAGTTTCAGAACTACAGGTGTCTCTCCCAAATTATGTGTCATAGAGGAGGTTAGGAGAAAGGAAAACTCTGCACCATGGTCCTCAGCCAGTGGGACAGGCAGACATACAGACTTCCTTGGGCAGGTGGGCCAGGCTGCACTCCTGAAAGAACTTCTGGGTTTCTGCTGTGGAGCCCAGGGCCTGTTTTCACTAGACAAAGCCCAAGCAGCAGCAATGAGGTGGAAAGGAGCAGTTGCTGAATGGCTCATCCCTGCCAGGGTGTGAGGTTGTGGCAGCTCAGTGCCAAGGCAGGAAGAGCACCATGAAATGGCACTGATTGTCTGACCTCTGCACAGGGGAAGGCAGAAAAAGATTTCAGCATCCTGTGAACTTTTCTGTGAGAAAATATAATCCAAATCCTGCATGCCTTGGCCAAAGCCTTTGCCATGGGGGTTGCTTTGTAGCAAATCTCTCCATAGCAAAATGAAGAAATGAAGAAATTTTATGTAGCTCCTAAGAAATTTTATGTACTCATTTTTAAGTACTTGCAAGTGTATCACACAATTAAAAGAGGACCAGGCATTCTGACTGAAGGCAGAAATTAAGAATATTCTAGGACTACAGTTAAAGGCTTGACCTCAGTCTCTTCCTGCCCACACAGAAAATGATGTACAGAGAGCCTGGGATTCATGGGGAGGTGATGCCAGCAAACGTTTCAGAATATTGCCTGTCAAAACACATGCAGTATCCACTGCCTACCTACTTGGCAGGCTGAAGTGTAAGCAAAGCTAGTCATCTCCCTATTAGGGGACACGTGAACATAAAACAGTGGGAAAAGAAGCCTGCTATTTATTTGAGGAAATTCAAATATGAGGTAAGAAATTCTGCCTCCACTGATGTTAGGACTATCCCATCTCTGTCTTTACAGAGTGACCTCGTGAGCACCAAAATCTCTTACAAAGGTACAACCAAGCAACATGGAAGCATTTCACTTCAATTGTCACTGCAGTGAAAATTATTGGACAGAAAATTCCAGATAGGATCACACATGCATAACACAAACATTTAATGCTCAATATACAAAACAACACTGTGTGGAAGAAGTGAGAAAGTATCTAGTTAGCTAAAGAAACATACCTACATCTACCTACAGACAGGTACCAGAGCACTGTCGCCCAAAGAACTTTGAACAGTAGTAGAGAAATTTTGAGTTCACTCATATGAAAAATGTCACTTCAAAATGTCTGGGCAGCAACCCCACACCAACGACCACACAGCTGCATGTTCCAGTCACACAGAGCTGAGCTACAGAAGGGCATCAAAAATGGCACTGCACTGCTGTCAGTGAAGGGTAAAAATCCCAAGCCCACACCCTGTGGGGATGTGACTGCTCAGCTCGCTCCTACTCCGCTCCTTAAGCACAGACAGGTTACTCTGCAGCATCAGAAGAAAATATGTCATTTGTTTAATCATCCACATGACTTCACCCTTCTTTCTTGTGCCCCAATTTCTGCTGGAGGTCCCTCATCTTTAAGTACTTGAGAAGCTCTATTTCGTTTAGCTTGTGAAACTTGATATATTGACCTTCTAATATGTTAAAACTATAAAGAGCCACACAGATGGTGTGTGTTGTGTATGTGTCCATTAAGATGTGTCTGTAACCACCTTAATTTGTAAATACCTGGGAAATTAGACAGGGAATTAAATTCATGTTTTTTCCAGGAAAAGTGAAAACACTTTAATCAAACCAAATTTGGAAGTATTTAGAAATTCCTGGAAGTAAAAATAATAAAAGCAAGCATATGAAACACTTTAAAGAGGAATTTAATGGAAACAAAGTAATCCCACAAAATTGAGTTAGGATTTATTTTCACATGGTTTGGACTTAAAATAATTCCAAAATCATGTTAACTGTTGGAGTGAGTAGATCAGTGCTATAGAAGCATGCATTTTTTTACAGACCTGGAGATTAAATGAGAAAGTAAACCTGCACTGTTTCTTGGCTTAAAAGTCACTGTGGTCCTCTGATGTAGTAACATCAAGCATCCTCCTTTCTGAAAATTATTTAAACATTGTTTTAATTGACTCCATGTGTTTCATTTATTAGAGCTAGACATGCTTGTCTCTTCAGCTAAGTCTGGCTTTTTTGGCTATAAAAGCCCTCAGGTAAGTAACTAAGAAGGACACATGCAGACATGCGATCTAATGAATCACCCAAACACAAATACGCCAAGCAAACCTTCTTGGGGATGCAGAGGTACAAGGCCAAATCATGATTTAAATGGAAGGAGAGGACTGGGGAAGGATTTAAACTTGCAAGTTTTTAAGGAAGAGGTCAGAGGGAGAGTATTGAGTACAGGGGATATAGGGCAGATGGTAAATAGCTTTACAAAACCAGTCCCTAAAATTAATAGCAGCCTTCAAGATTTATTTCCTGTCTCTGTATTTCATTTTTCCATAATTTCCTTCTTGTTCAAAAGAAAGTGTACCATGTTTTTAAGTACAGATAAAAGCACTGAGAGGCCATTATGGAAAAAAGAACCAGGACTGTGTACTCTGTGTTCCTACTGAGGCAGCTTCCTTTCCTAGTGTGCTCTGAACTGCTTAGCCTGATCTAATTTGAAGTCTCCCAAGATACAGGGCTCATGCTACTTCCCTTGGGAGAACTGAGGGGAGACATGAGAACAGCCTTTAATTACAGAAAGAGCTGTTCCTAAAGGAGAGAATAATCTGTTCTCCAGCTTTATGGAGGATATGAACTTCAACTGCAGCCAGAAAAATTCCAGTTAGAGGTAAGAGAAAGCTCTTTAATGGTAAAGATCCTGCAGAATTGAGACAGATTGCTCAGAGGGCTACACAGATTCCATCAGTGGAAGAATATGCCTGAGAAAAGATAAGCACACATCAGCCAGGCATGGCTTAGGCAGAATTGATTCCTACACCGGGACAGGGATGTGTAGTAGATGATGAGCTTTCTAAGACCCTTCCCAGGCCTTTTTCTTGTTCTGTAGTTTTGACAGATCATAACTGGTTTGGCCAAGCCTTACCCTTACTGCTTCTCTTGTGGATACGTCCACAAAAATGCAGAAAAACAAAGCAATAATCCCTTTTTTTTTTTTCTTCTGTGGCCACAACACTTGCCCACATCATTAGAGGGCAGTCACTGGAGCAGGAGGACCATCCCCACACACATCTCTAGCAATAAATTCAGTCTGAGATCACTGCTGCTAAAGAGATCTTACCTGTGATATTGTCTCTGTCAAATGACCTTCTATTTTACATCTTAGGTAACTTTTAGTACTTTTAAATCTTAGCTAAATCTATTGTTTTAAACTTCCTGCAATTTTTGGAGACTCAGCATGTTGAAGTTGCATCCAGAAAAAATAATACGTGAAGAATAGATGTTCTAAGGTTATCACAAACTTGATGTTACAGCTGGTGCTAAGCAACCTACTGCCTTGATTGAATAAAGATAGGAATAAGTGATTTACCATTTATTAAAGACTCTATTAATGATTTATTAGTGTTTTATTAACTATTTATCAATGCAACCCTAGTAAAAAGCCTGTCTTGTTTCACAGCATCTTTCTGGTTTCTGCATTTATACAAGCCTGA